CTCCGTCTGAGTGCTTTTCCGGCTAGGGAGTGTGACTATGAAGCCAGGACAGGAGGCCAGCACGTGGACAGACTGCAGCCCGAGCCGAAATTCTTCTCCTTCAAGCACTTGAGGGCAGAGATTCCAAAAATGTAGTTTTCTCTCCACAAGGCAGAGGCTACCTCTGGTGAGAGCACCTTCTGCAAACGCTGGACGCGTCTCATAAACAGACATTTTCCATGATGGGAAGGTTGGCTTGGCAAATCTGTCCAAGTATCTTAGGAACTCGTGAGACTTGGAAGCCTGTGTCCGTCTTTCCTGGGAGGAATGTGCACTGGGCTGCATGGGCTCTGGGCTGTGTGGGAAGGCTTCCTGAGCCTAGACTCCTCAAGCCCTGTCTGCACTCCCACGAGGCCTGGCTTTGGGAGGCACTCGAGGGGACTGGCTGATCTAGATTTGATTCATGAAGCAATCTATCCACACCTTACTCAAGAATTTTTTTTTAAAGGATTAAAACAGGATCAAAACTTTTTGGTTTTGTTTCTGTGGGAAGAACCATGAAGGAATTAGGCCACAAACTGTTCATTTTCTTTTAAACTGAGACATAACAACACTTTTTTTAGAGATGCAGTGACAAGAATCAACAAGCCAAAAAGAAATATCTTGTGTTTGGCGTGGTGTATTTTTGGTTAGATGGGTACAACTGAACTATTGTTTTTTAACTGCATACCTTTGTTGGAACCAAACTGTGTGACCGTGAGATGAGGGCTCTTGTGTCTGAAGACGGAAAGTCGGAGAAGAGCACCAGATCCAATAGGAAGAGCGGGTGTGTTCGTCCTGCGCAGATCCACTGTCCTGTCAGAAGATGCCCTTGGCTGTTCCTCGGTATCTGAGTGTCAGCACTGGGAGAGGGGGAGCCCGGTGGGGCAGGGCGAGGCCCCGGGCGAGGCCTGGTACAGCTTTCTAGCTGGCGAGAGCAGCACCATTTCTCTTCTGAGAAGGCTGCTCCGGGAGCTTGGTGGTAGCGATTCCACTCTCAGGGCGCCCCAAAGTGGTGCATCATTTACACTTGTTCTCTTTGAGGAAAAATTTCTTTATGGAGCACAATGGCCTTATGTTAAGCTGTAAGGCCCTGGTCACCAAGAAAGTCGTTCATCAGAAGCATGGGGATTGAGCCCTATCAGCAGTCCCCTCCCTCCTTGGGAACTGGACTGTTCATTTAATACCAGCAGCTCCATCGTGGCTGCCACTTTTCCCACCATCAGACAGAGTCGAAATAGTTTCCATAACATGGAATGTGGACAAGGCTCCTACCCTAAAGCGGACCTAGGTATGCACTTGTTTGTCTCAGGCTATTTTTGGCAAAAGCAGAGTATTTTAAATGCCTTGGTGGCCTCGGAAAAATGGCACAACTTTAAAGTTGTTGACATAGTATTTCTTAAATCAATAAAATGAATTTTAAAATATTTAAACATGCATAAAGTACTTTTAAATCCGACATGTAACTAACCACTGTGTGTGGCTTTTTAAAGTGGTGTTTTAAAACGGCACCAGCATGACTTAAGGAGCAGTGGCTCTGAACCGGTTATTCTAATTCTAGTAAAAAACCACTGTTCCTAAAAGGATCTCAGAAGGGTAGCTTGAAGAGCTGGCTTGCTTATTTTAGGTAGGAAAATCTGAAAACAGTCTTTATAAAGAAAGACACTAAACTTTTAAAGGTACTTTAAGTACCTTTCCTGAAATAGAGCACCAGCGCTTTCTCTGAGCATTTCAGACGTTCATGTCTCTTCCCATGCACAAAGGCCTCCTGCTGAGGCAAGTGTCAGGCTGGATCTGCCCTGAGGGTGCCCAGCTGCTGGCCCCCGTGCTGTCTGCCTCAGCGTCCAGTCCAGCGCCCATGAGGGGAATGCCTGGTTCAGGATGAAGATGGGGAATTATGTGTTTTCAAAATACTCAGGGAAAAAAACTTCTCGAAATGGATGACAGATCTATCTTTTCATTATCTAAAAATGCTCAGGGTTTTTTAAGGAAAATTTTAAAAATCCTCACCACTTTACCGACAGACATCTTTAAAAATTCTGACCACTGCACTGATAGAAAAGATCATGCTAGATGTAGGAAAAAAGACTGAAACTGTCAACGACTTCATTTGACTTGGATCCACAATCACTACACTTGGCACCAGCAGCCAGGAGCTCCGGAGACATACTGCACTGGGAGAGTCTGCAGTCAGGGATCGCTCCACTGAGCAGCAATGATACTAATCTGAAGACTAGGGTGTGCCAGATTTCTTTTCAGTCACTTGCTATGCATACTACAGCTGGACAATGAATAAGGATGAGAGAAGAAAAAGTGAGTTGCCTCTGAGTTTTGGTGTTGGAGGAGACTTCTTAATACCCCATAAACTACCAAAAGAACAAATAGGTGTATCTTGGGGAAGGTGCGGCCGGAGTGCTCCCTGGAGGCAAGCATGATGAAGCTTCATCTCATATACTATGGGCGTGTTTGCTAGGAGAAGCTATTCCCTGGAGAAGGATATCATGCTTAGAAAGGTGGAGGGACAGTGAGGGATAGGAAGACCCTCAACAAGGTGGATTGACACAGTGACTGCAGCAGTGGGCTGGACTGTGTCAGAGATGGTGAGGCTGACACAGGATAGACCAGGGTTCAGATTTATTGTTCAAAGGGTCGCTATGGCACCTAACAACATACACTTTAAGTTCAGCTTCCTTACCTATTGGCATCAGAGAGGGACTCACAGTTCAAATTTGAACTCTAACAACACAATTACTACACTTGCTGTGTGTGCCCTTGCGCCTCTAGTATCCACAGCACCTGTCTAAGATTCCGCTCTGGGTCTTAGGTATTTGTTAACGGTTACAGCTTGCTCGGCTCCACAATCAACACCCTTGGTATCAGCAGTCAGGAAATCTAAAGATGAACTGCATTAGGTAAGTCTGCTGTCAGGGACCTTTCCACAGTACTGAGAAGCAATGATGTCAGTCTAGAGACCTAATCCAGTCCATGGTCTTCGCAATTACTTACTATGTATCAGAGAGCTAGATAATGACTAAGAATGACAGAAGAAGAATTGGTGCCTTTGAGTTGTGGAAGAGTCTTGAACATACCATGAACTGCCAAGAAAATAAATCTGTCTTGGAGTCTCTCCTTGGAGGCTAGGATTTTGAAGCTCCTCCTTACATATAACCTTTGGGCATGTGGCCAGGAGAGGGCCAACATGCTCAGAAGGGTGGAGGGACAGCACAGGAGAGGAAGAACCTGAATGAGATGGATCGATACAGTGCCTAGGGTTATGGGGGTAGGTGCACTGGAGTCAGTGAGACTGGCTCAGGACAGGGCAGGCTTCAGAGCTGTTGTACATAGGGTTGCTATGAGTTGCAGGTGACTGAAGGACAAATAACAGCAACAACAACATCTGCTATTTGCTTGCATTTCTAACCTGACACTTCAAAGTAACATATATTCCCAATAACAGTTCCATTTCCTGGCATGAGCTAATCTATAGCCACATCAGAAGTGGGGAGGTCATACACATCATTGCTAAATTACTGAGTTGTGTTTCTTACCTATAAAATGAACATTAAAAGGGGGAAAAAATCCTTACCTCACACTCTTATACCAAAAAGCATTTTGTGAAAAATTTTTGAGGCCTGTGAAGAGCTATAAATATAAAAATCATGTTAGATGATGTAAATTCTTTTTGTTTTAAACCAACAGAGACCTGGGCACATTTAGCATTTTTTTAAATGTATATGTCTATTAAGAGATTTAATATTTTTATAGTAAATTGATGTCACTACAACAAATCTAAACCCAACTGGAGACCAATACCTACTACAGCTGTGTTGCAGGAAGGGGTCAAAGTCAGTATTAGAAATAATACACTTTATTGAATTCTAGAGCAGCTAATCTACCACTACCCGCCCCTGCTGAACAATGACAGTAAGAATGAAAGAAAATGTATGAAGGTTAAAGAGTCTACACCACTGTTAAAAAGGTAACAACTTTCACTGTTAAAAAGGTAACAACTTTCACTATACTGGTGAGGCTTTATAATACTCTAAGTATACAGTAAGATTCGTTCTTGTTCAAACAAGAAGTGATTTCACTCGGAATTCTGCAGTTGAGTTCTTGAGTTCGTTCACCCTGATTGTGTAAGGTGCTGGCCTCCAGAACCCCTTCCGGCCGTCGAGGCTCAGCTCTGAGACACAGCCGCTCACCCTGGGGAGATGGGCAGGAGGAGCCCCAGCGCTGCCGCCCACGCAGCTGCCTCACTCGTTATGCTGTGAACTACAAAGAGATGCCTCCTCTCCTTTCCTGAAGGCTTGCTATTCTGTGTTCTGATTTATCACAGAGGAGAAAAAGATCACTTTTTTAGATAACAAATAAGCATTTGTGCTGTCAGCCAGAATTGGAGGCCTGGAGGAGGCTAAAGCAGGCAGAGGGGCTTCTGCCAAGCGCTGCTGGCAGGGCAGCTGGACGAGGGCCACCGAGGGCACTCACGGGCTGACGAAGGGAAGCCCCTGCCGGAAACCCACCTAATACAATGGAAACAGCAGATCGCTCCCCTGATACACAATACTGTGGAATCACGGAAAAAGATGGGAGTTTGTAATCACAGCACACATTACAGCAATTCCAGACCATCTCTTCCCATCAGCCTCCTTGCTCCACCCCGACTCTGCAGCCACAATGGTGTAACCATGACTACAACGGCCAGAGTAACAAGGAGAGAGTGTCATAAGCCATGATGGGAGCCACCTGCATGCAGCTCAGCCTGACCTGACCGTCACTTTGTTACAACTGTGAACCATCTGCAAAGAGTGTAGATACATAAAACTAAAACAAGAATCTCTCTAGGATTAGCATAGTTTAAAGTCTTCAGAAACTTTCCAGATGTACCTAGATGGAGCCCCTCCCCCACTAGAGCCCAAGCAGGGACTTCCTGGAAATCCTGCTGGAACTGGTCTGATGGGCGTCTGGGCTTTTGGTTTGCCTCCTTATTCCTCCTCCTCCTCATCATCATCTTCATCATGGCAGTGTGTGATTTCCTGGGGGGCTAGCGGGAAGAGGTTGGGAGGTTTAATCTCACTGATCGATCGTGTCAGCTGGTGCCGCTTGTAATCGGTGTCCTTGAACTCCATGGACGTGCGGTTCCGGGTGGCAAGCGGGGACTCCATCTCGTTGATATCCACATGTGTGTGCTCTACGGTTGATTCGTGGGGCATCTGGAAAAAAGCCAGAGGCTCAGAAAACACACAAAGTCCTTGCCTCCCACATCCCAGGCCTTCTGTCAGGTGGCTGTGTGCGCTCAGCTAGTGGAAACTGCCTCCCTCGCTCTGCCTGCAGCTGCTTATTTCGCTTCCTTCTCACCACCCGACATGGCTCCTGGGTCATTCGCTGCAACCTGCACTCTAATAGATGGGAGGGAATTTTATTTCCTGTTTAACAACAAAAATAATACTTAAAACATACATCAACATCCTTACTTAGGAGTATCTTTCTCTCAATCTGTGCTACAGAAAAGAGGAACGTCTTTGCCACACCCAAGTGAACTCTGATTAGAGCAACCTCAGGAGGGATAGCGGTACCTGAACACTGTCCTGACTGTCATTGCTCAGATCCCGTCATGACACCTTATCACCCACCAGTGCCCTCTGCACATAACTGGCTAAGCGTCTCCTGGGCCGCCCCACAGAGCCGGGCTCAGACCCGACCGTATGGGACAGCGTGTGGCTGTGTGCACTCACCAGGACATGGGCCGCTCTGAAGAGGTAGCTGAACGGGTAATACAGCAGGTTGATGAAGGAGGCTGCGTAGAGGTCGGCATACCGCATCACCTGACTGGCAAAGAGGGTCTGCCGGGAGCCGCTTCGGAACAGGCTTCCCATCATCCCGTAGCACATGTCCATGTCATGCGTTACTTTCTGAAACAGAAAACAAGCCCGATTCTCAACTCACCCAACCAATATTTAGGGAGCCAGAGACGAGGCTCCAGTCCTGTATAAAATCAGAAATGCTGGTAGCATCTCAATGACACTTCTTTCCCCAGTTGCCCTGCCAACCCCGTCTGGGTACCTTAATACGCCTCTGGATGGAACTGATATCTGGACGTTCATTGCTGCTGCTGTCAAGGTGCCTGCGGACAAAAAATTTTAAAAAATAAACCAGCGGATGGACTGTCTTGTGAGGGTACTTCCAACAACACTGAGGTGAGTGCCACAGTGGTATTTAGGGAGGAAACCTTAAGAATTAGGCAACTTACTTGTAGAGTTCAGCCAAGAAAATATCCAAGCTCTGAAGCTCGTCAAAAAGAGCTAGACAAGGTTTGGAAAGAAAAAGGAAACATTTTAGATCACTAAAAGCACCAGTTTTTAACGGCTACTGAAGCTAAGCTGCGAGGTTCTAGACAGGTCAGAGATGCAAAGTCCGGCCAAATGTGTAGAGAGCAGCGGGGCTGAGCTGCCGAGTCGGGCAGGATGAGCAGTGGAAACACCCCCACCTCCGCTACCTGCCCGTCCTCCCACCTGGATAAACGGACATCTCGCCCAGCTTCGTGCTGCTTTCTGCCTGCTTTACCCAGTGCCAAGCTCGCCCAGGACAGGTGCAGCCAGTGACAGGAGCGCTGGCAGCCCCATGCTCAGGGAGGGAAATGGGATCAGGAGGCCACCCAGTTGCAGGCCCCGAAAAAAGCCCAGTAAAGTCAATTCAAGTTGGAAAACGTCAGAGGAAGCTAGCTGAAAACGAGGTGTGGGGCTCGCTGGGAGGGTCTGATGATGTGGACGCAGGAGCAGCCGCACCTCCACACTTGCTGGGTGGTCTGGCTTCTCCACAGGTTCCCCGAGGTGCATCATCGACTGACAAATGAGGGCGCTGGTGGCGCAGGCGGCCAGAGCCGTGCTACTGGCGCAACAGTGGCACCTTTCTCCCTGTTCAAATCCACCAGTGGCTCCAGAGCCATTTACAGCCTCTGAAGCTGTAAGGTTCTGACTTGATGGCAATGAGTCTGAGTTTTTTGTGACAAATGAACACTTCTTTTCTTTATCCTTTTTTTTAAAATCAGAAACGCGACTCTGATTTCTGTGTGTGTGGATCGACTGAGGAGCCTTGGCTGAGAAGGGCTGTCTCTGCTCTTCTGGATGGAGACACCCTCACTTCACCGCCTCTGCTCTGCAGACTTGAGGACTTCACAGACTGAATGTTCGCGGCAACCCTGCCTCGAAGAGATCCAGTAGTGCCATTTCCCCAGAGCAGGCACCCACTTTGGGTCCTTCTTTTCATATGTGAAGCTTTTTCACAGGGCCACTACACAATCAGTATTCAAAAAATCTCAAACTCATTGCTGCTGGGTTGGAACCAACTCCCAACTGACCCTCCAGAGAGTTTTCGGAGGCTGTATATCACACAGGAGGAGACTTTCTCCCACAGAGCAACTGGGAGATTCAAACTGCCTACCTTTGAGTTGACAGTGCAACTCCCGACCCACTAAGCCACCAGAATTCCCTTAATGAACAACATGCAGAATAGAGAGGCATTTATAGGCACTGTTGGTGGTGATGTGTCGAGTCAGAACCTACTCGTAGCTGACTCTCCAGCAGGTTTTCACGGGCAGTGAAAGAAGACGGCCCATCCTTCTCCCACAGACAGGCTGATGGATTTGAACCATGTGCCTTCGGGACTACAGAACAGCTTTACCACAAGGCCACCAGAGCTCCCTAGGCACCAGTTGTGTGACTGACTGTATTACATGGCCTGGAAACGAGCTGGCACTTCTCTACCCACTTAGCATCAACTTTAGGAGATAGGGACTGTTACTGACTGCATTTCACATCTGAAGAAACTGAGGCACAGGGTCATGTGACCAAGGACATGCAGAGATGAAGTGGTGAAGCCAGACTCCTCAGGGGAGCACGTCTCCATGTCACCAGCCTGTGGTGATGCGTACGGCTCATGTGCGAACACGATTCCTCACGCACAGTGTAGCACGGCCCAGAGAAGGCAACTCTGCTCCACTCCCTCCTTCTCAGAAGAGCAAAAGAAAACTACCAGGAGCCCCAGAACTGCAGAGATGAAATGGGAGCAGACCGGACTACCGGGCGAGGTGGAGAAATAAGAACCCACAGGGGGAAGTGGAGGCAGATTCACACTGAGGACAGCAACACTATCCTTTACCCTGAAAAGATTTAAGGAGCAAGTGAAGCGTGACCTCTCCTGTGTCTCGGGGCTGGGACTCTGTGAGCCACGTGGCTATTCTCACGAGGAGGCGGTGCTCACCCACCAGGGCCCACACCCTGACCAGCACCGGGAGGGCTGGCCCAAAGCTGGCCTTTCAGATATGAACTAGCTGTGTCAAAGCTGTGTCACTACTGAGAGTCACTGGCCCCTTACAGCTCTTGTCAGTCCAGACGTGCAGCTCCTGCGCGAGCTCAGGGATCACCAGGAAGGTTCGCCACCCTTGTCGCTTCTTAGATTTTAAAATGTCCCCAAAAATGTGATCTCCGATGTACAAGATGTCCTTGCCCTTTGCTCCCAACAGATCACAGATTGTATCAGATGAACCTGAAAGAACGAACAAGGAGAAAACAAAAACATAACCCTTAAATTCAATGCACACTGTCTATTTCATTCTCAGGATTATGAGGGACAGAGTGATGGAATGCTTAAAGACTTCCTTAAAGCCTCACTATTCTTTCCCCCATCAGGCTTTCCTCTGACTCTAGGACAAGGCCTGTGACTCCACTGTGATGGGGAAAGCTCCGTTTCTAAGCTTCCACCATGCAATTTTCAGAAGCAACAGCACCACCTCCCACAAGGAGATTCTGCTCCATCACAGTGGCCATGGGAGCCCCGAGAAAATGTCCTAGAATCCCTTAAGAATCAACCCAAATGATTCAGAAAGGAAGGAAACTGGTCCTAATGCAGCTTGCTGGGCCGTTCTAACAAATTCTCAGACCCTTCGCCCCAACTCCTGCTGCAACAGCAGGTGACAGGTGTTTACCTCCTGAGCATCGAGGCACCACCACAGGGGCTGAGCAGTGCCTGACTCACCTCCTGAGTACACGATGCCGTGCTGTAAGGGGCCAGTGTAGGTGCCTATTTTCAGCTTGCCAGTTTTCTGTGTGAAGAGGATATGGACTTAATCATGATCATCATTATACCAGACTCCACCCACCACGCCCTGTGGTCAAACAAATGAAAGACGCTCTTTTTCTGACATACTGGCCTGTCTGGCTACTTCAATTAAAAACCAAACACTTTAGATGACATTTCAAGAGAGAGATAGGATAATGCACCAAAAACAAAAAAGCGTGTGGGCAGAGGACGGACAGGGCAGCATGTGAGCACACACGCATCCTGTGACTTACAGTGTCCACTTGGCGCAACACTGTGCCTTCTCCAAAGAAGAGTGGTTTCCGGGCATCCACCAGGATTAGGTCAAAGTAGGACTGCCACGGGCGATGGGAGCTCCCGGGCTGGGGGAGGAGAAAGAGCAGAGGCTGAAAGGGCAGTCCTTACCTCCAAGCACTCAGCATCTCATCCCGACACAAGCAAGGTGCGAGTGCTAAGTACAGCCAGGAGACAGCACGATTTCATCCAGAGTTTACTGTCTTACTGTACGCCATAGCCTTTCAGAAGCAGACTAGGTATAAAGAGATAAAAACGTCTCCGTCTTGAATCCTATCACCTACTACTGGATCACAGGAACTTATCCCACAGTTAAGCGAACGCACGAAAGAAAGTGTGCCTGCGCTCTGAAATCTATTTAAAGGCATTACAGAGAGATGCAAATTGAGTTAGAGGTAGATCAGCATCAGAACTAAAGTATACAAACTAACATGGATCTGTTACTAGGAAATTTTTACTCACTATGTTCTCAGACTGATGATTCTAAGTACACACCGGCCTTTGGCTCTAACTACAAACACTAAGAAGTTATACCCATTAAAATTCTTGCCAGCCTGAGATGGAACCATGGCAAGAACCTTTCTCGACCAAGCTGAAGAGCCCAGAACACCGCACAGCGTTTCCAAAGGCGGCCATTCAGTCACAGAAGCCAAGGACTAAAAGCCACAGATACACGGCAGCAGGCCGCTCTGAAATGGGAGTGAAGCCCTGCGCACAGACTAACTAGCAAGACTAGTTAGAACTCAGCACAGAACTCAGCAATAACTAAGCAGAATCAAGAATGTACACATTCCATTCTGTTTATTTCTATTTGGAGTGACTTTCAATTCTGCTGGTTCCCAGACTGCATCTAAGGGTAATAATGTGTGTGCTGCGCTCTGATCGGTGCTAACCAGTTCTGCCCTTACAGCACTGCGGGATGATTACAGCAGTCACTGTTCCTAAAGCCATGGGCTAGTGAGTTACATAGAGTACCTTGGGGCCGTGCGGGAAATCAAACAGGTAAGTCATAATTTTCTGGAAGGAGAAAAAAAAAAAGGCAACATAAGACTCATATTTCTTAAAAAGACTTAACATCTAAAAAAAATGTTATGCAAGCTTTTCATAAAGTAACTTTTCATACATAACACATTCTTGTTTCTTCTAAATTTTTTGAAGTCATAGCAGTGGAAACCATAAATTAAGGCCTCATCATAACCTCATCTCCCTGCGCCCCCCAACACCCTTCCACCTCCAAAGGCTTCAGACATTCTCAGAAGGACACATACTTCCAACTTGGAGTTGATTTGTACAGAATTAGAAACATATTCCTATCTGGTTCTCCTAGTGGCCTCAGACACACAGTTGGAAGCAAGGGGCGTCTAAGGTGAGAGCATGGGAAAAAGGAATGACTTACATGGAAACAATAATATTACCATGGTCTTGTCACTGCTATTCTCCGATAGAGCAGGCCAACCCCCCACTATGAAATAACACCACTTACTCCGAATCACTGGGTTGCTAAACTAAGATTTTACATAGAGGTATGGCGATAATTGAGCTTGTTAGTATTATAAACTTAGCACAAATGAGTTTAGAGAGTTTGTATTTCACACCACACACAAAGATGAATTCAAGATAGAGCACAAACCAAAATGTGAAACAAAATTATAAACATTATTTTTAAAAAAAAAGTAAGGGCCAACTTACGGAGGGACTGATTCAGTGACTGGGGTAGTGGGGGGTCAGACACAATAAAGCTGGGTTAGGATAGAGCAGGGTTCAGAGCTATTAACCACAGGGTTGGTCTGAGTCACAGGCAACTCAACAGCAACAACAATTTATGGCGTACAGAGTCTATAAACATAACCAAAAGTTCACCAACAGCAGAGGATAAATTAGATAACTGAAAACTTCTAAAAACTTCTAAAAATCACTGGAAATAACCCTGGCAATGACCTATCTGACAAGGGTTCAACCTCCAAAATTTCTAGAAAACTCCAACAACAAAAAAGATAAACAATTCAAGAAAAAAAAATGGGCAAAAGACATGAGTAGACAATTCACCACAGTTAGTATGCACGTGGCCAACAAATAAATGAAAAGATGCTCGAAACCATCAAACCCTTCTTCTCTCCTGCTAAGTCAGTTCCAGCCCACAGCAGCCCTCCCTCCTGCGGGCCTCCGGGGTGAACGCAGATCCTTTTAACTGGGAATTGAACCCACTCAGGGATCCCCCTTCCATCAACTAGTAGACAGACCTATCAAGTGAATAATAAACACTCAAGAGAACAACTGACCATGTGGGAACAAAGGGCAGCATTTGCCCCCAGCGTTCAAAAGGCAGGAAAGATGAGTAAATATAAACAGAATTAGGGGAGAAAGTGAGAAGAGTGTTGTTACACTGAGGAGATTGCAACTGATGTCACAAAACAAAATGTGTACAGGTTTATTAAATGGAAAACTCACTGGCCCCATAAAATATTACCTAACCCACAATAAAGTGTTAAAGAAGGGAAAAAAGATAAATCCCTATTTCCACATGCTGAATGGAAATTCTAGAACTGTACACAGACTAAGAAGCAGGCATTTGAACAAGAGGACACAGCGGAGTGTGGAATCTGGATAGGTCATCACAGATGTTTTAAATAACCCAACAACAGGGCTGTGTCCTTCCGCCGCACCCCAATCGCTATGTTCAACAAGTAATCTGAGAAGCTGTACTCTGAAGGGGAATGTGGCCATCAGTACTGGAGGACTCATTAACAACCTGTGATACGCAGCTGACACAAGTCGGCTTGCTAAAAATGAAGGCTCCAAGCGTTTCCTGATGAAGCCCAAACTGCATGGCCTTCAGTATGAACTACACCTCGACATAAAGAGAACAGAATCATTACTACTGATCCTTAAAATAAACAGCATTAGGATAAATACAGAAAAGATCAAAGTTGTCAATGATTTTATTTTACTTGCATCTGCAATCAATGCCCATGGAAACAGCAATCAAATCAAAGGACACACTGCAATGGACAAATAGGCAGCAAAGGGACTCTTTAAAATGCTCAAGAGCAAGGATGCCATTTTGAAGACTAAGGAGCACCTGGCCCAAGCCATGATATTTTCAAGGGCTTCATGTGCATGTGAAAGTAAGACAATGAATAAAGAAGAGAATGGAGTAACTGATGTCTCTGAATTGTGCTGCTAGTAAAGTACTGGATACATTATGTGTGGTCAAAAGGATACAGAAAGATGTCTTGAAGAAGTACAACCAGGAGGCTGGCAAGACTTCATCTCATACACTTTGTTCATGCTATAAGGAGGGGTCAGTCAGAAAAGAAAGGAAAAAATCAGGCATAGAAAAGCAGAGGGTCAGCAGAACAGAGGAAGCTCCTCAATGATAGACTGACCCCGGAGCTTTCCAGTGGGCTCGAGCACAGCAGCGACCGTGAAGCTGGCCCCGGGACTAGGTCATTTGTTCTATTATGTCTGGATGGTGAAGGGGGGTCACTGTGAGCTGCAGTGACTCAATGACAGCTAACAACAATTAAAACAACATACGCTTCATTCCTGGTCAAATACAAAAAGATGCAGCAAACTGTGACAGCTAAGAGTCAAAACAGCTTTGCCCCACTGACTGTTTCAGGCAACTTAAAAAGAGAGAAGATGCTAATCAAGAATGTGGGCAAAACAACACAGTGACTTCTCTGGTTTCTATGAAAGAGATGGAGAAGCCCTTTCAGTCACCACAGATGTTTTAAATAACCCAAAATTTAAAAACCTCCAAGTAATCTGTTATCTGGGGAAACACTGTAGTAAGAGAAGGGGGGAGAAGTGGTTCTACAAATACAAGCTTTCCTGGAAGCTCGCTTTACGCACTTCATCTAAGACCTACAGTAGTACCTGTTTTATTTTAATGAATGTTTACAGAGACTTTGGATTTCCACTCATTCATTGTTGCACACTTTCCTCCCTGCCCACCCCTTCCACCAGTTCGCTTTTCTCTTTGAAAAGTAAAAATAAAAAGAATCTTTCATTGTTATACAATCCCCCCCACCCAGTCCACTCCACTATACAGCTCTCATTCTGGACTCTCATCATGACAATAATACCTAATCATATATTCCTCCTAAACAGTTCTCTCCCTCATCTGTTTCAATGCAGTATAGATTATTTATCCTCTCTTGGTTTCTCCCCAACTCTGATGTCAGATCTGTTTTACAACAGTGGCAGTATTTGTTTGTGACTGAGATATTTCACTCGGCATAATGTCCTCCAGGGTCACCCATTTTGTAGAAGACTGCATGAGTTCCTTGGTTTTCAATGCAGCATAGTATTCCATTGGGTGATTATACCAGAGCTTCTCTATCCATTCGTTTGTTGATGGGCACTTGGGTTGTTTCCAGCTCTTTGCTACTGTGAACAAAGCCGCAATGAACATGGGTGTGCATATATCTGCTTGGGTGGCAGTTATGGTTTCTTTAGGGTATATTCCCAGCAGAGTACCTGTTTTCAATAACGAATACTCAAAGTATTTGCTTTCACAAAAAGGCAAAAAGCGAAGCCAGTAGGCTCAGTGGCAGCTGTGCAGAACCCACCCCTGGCAACAAGAACATCAGTATCTTGGTATTAAGCTGCCTTAGCTCCGAGTGATGATGTGAACACTGTATGTTAGTGTTACTGGAAGTTTTGTTTAATAGTTTGTCTATTTTTGGAGACTAGGGCTAGTAAAAAAACTTTTTCCTATGTAAATTAATGTAATTACATCTTCTCTTTATGCCGTTTCAATTTACAAATGGTTTCACGGGGGTTGGGGTGGGAGGGTGTCTTGTTCTTGGAATCACTGTTAAGTTCAGAGGGGGAACTTGTACTTAAGAATTACTCTGGTATAGACTCCTTCGTTTTAGTTTCTTTTTTCCTACTCTGCAAAGAGCAAAAATAACTCTCACTTAATAAAATATGATCTTCCTCATTATCTTCATTGTTCCTTAAGCCAAAACATGTAACACATAATTCTTTTATATAAACAAACCACCAAATAGAAGTATTTGACACTCACATCTGTGTATTTGTAGTCACTGTTGGTGGCAAGAAATACCTTCCCGACCTCATTCATCCGGCTCAGAAGCAAAGGTAGTTTTCCCTGAAATGTAACATTATGATAAGAGAAACAGTACAACAATTTTTTTTACATTTACACTTCTGTGCATTTATGTACTGTTGTTATGTCCCATCTCTGACTCACAGCTGACCGACCCTCCAGCAGGAAATCACACAGGAGGAGACTGCCTACATTGTTCTTGTGAGTCATGTACTAGATAAACCATTTTTGTCCATTAAAACAGGAACAGATTACCTTTAAGGGCTTGTTTCACAGTTTTACATTTAAAAGTTCATACGTCCACTACGCATGAATAAAGTATTAACATACAGTACACACGATGTATATAATACATACATTTGTACATCAAAGTATATATACAAATATTAACATATTTTTTTTTATTTCTTAATTTTTATTTTATTATTTTTTGTGTGTGTACAGTCAAATTGGATCTGACAGGTACAGGAGGAGGTTGTCCCTCCTTCTCCAGCAGAGCATCTGGTGGATTAGAACCGTGCACCTCTGGGATTGCAGTACAGCTTCTTGCTACTAGGCCACTAGAGCTCCCTTAACAACATATTCTTATTATACATGCTGAAGAAAATGTTCAAATTGCCTTATTATATCCTAAAGTATGAGTTAGGTGTGTTAAGATATAAAACCCTGATTTTACTGTTGTCTCTGGTTATATGTGGAGGATTGTTTTCAGGGCCCTCCACAGATACCTAAGTTCTTTATATAAAATGATTTATATATATTCATATTCTCTCCTGTACTTTAAATCAGTTCTAGATTACTTAGGATATCTAATGCTATTTATGTAGCACCTTAGCGCTTCCTTAGCCTCTGGGGGATTGCTTTGACCACTATTTGCTCCCTCCTCACCACCCTGTCTGCCACTCCCCCCCAAAATCCCAATCCTGATCCTGGTTGAAGGGGGATGCAGAAAGGGAGGGTCACTGCACTCCAGGGGAGATTCCACTGCTTCCCTGTGTCCATTCAGTCTTCTAAAACATGGTAAACGAAATGACATATGTAACTTGGGTATGTCCAGACCCACCTGTAGATCAGTGAGGGAATTCTAACTCCTGGTGTATCTGGAAAGATAGTCACCCTGCCTTCTCCTACAGTAAACATTGTGAACTTGAGTAAATTCACTCAAACTGTCCAGATGCCCATTGGGGTCTTGAAGCAGTGGGGCATGAGGGGATGACAGGAAGTACAAAGACTGAAAACAAATGAGAATCTTAACCAAAGTGCTCTCAGAAAATACTGTCTATTTTGCTCAGTAGGAAAGGAAGAGGACTCTTGTTTCTGAAGTATATGTCTCTGACATTTTAAAGTCATTTCAGACTTACAGAGAAGTTGAGACAATAGTGTACAACTGTCTATCAGAGTCCTATGTATCCTTCAACCAGCTTCCTCTGGTTATTATTGTAAATAACTACAGTGAAATTATTAAAACTAAGACATTAATGTTGGTACAATACTATTAAGTACTGGGTTTTCCCAGAACCAGTTTTTCTGCTTTAAGATATTTTAAAGCTTTCCTTAGGATTCTCTGGATCTTAAATGTCCATCCTTGCACACAGCTTCTTAGATCATCTAGGACAGTGGATCTGAGCATGGCTCCTGCCTTACTACTTAAAGAGTGTGTGACCTTGGACAAGCTATTTTTGTTTCTTCTCTTCCCTAGTGTCTTCATCTGTGCCCCAGGTAACAGTAATATCTAACTCAGGGCAAGGAGGAAGATGAAATGGGATTACGCGTGTAAATCATTAACATAGTGATCAAAAACAAACCCTCCAATTCACTGCTGTCAGGCTGGAGCTGACTCATCATCGCTAACCTAAACCTCCAGCGAGTTTTTAGAGGCTGTAAACGGGACGAGAGGTGACTGGCCATCTTTCTCCCTCGGAGGCACTGGTGGATTTGAACCGGCAGAGAGGCCTGGCTTTTGGGTTAGCAGTGCAACTCTACAGACTGCTGCACCAGAGCTCCTCCGCACAGGGACAGGCACGGAGTAAAGAGTATTCCAGTTGTTATCATACAACCAGAGCTAAATGGACAAATGAAATAGAGGCCTTTTTACCTATGAACACACAGCAGAAGTTCTACTAAGGCCTACACTCTTGGTTGCTAAAGAAATCGTCCAGCCAGGGCTCATACTACCAGCAGCTTGGTGTAAGAGCAGATCTGGCAATGTACTTCTGTAAAGATTACAACCCAGACACCCTCTACTGTGTCCTATCGGACAGAGCCAGGAGCCGGAGTTGTCTTGACCACACAGAACAACAATGCTCTGGACTAAAGACTCCTGGTGAAGATACGTGGTGACCTGGCACATTATGCCAAGACAAAGCAACATATTTCCTCAGCCATTTTTTTCTAAGACCTGTTCCCTACCAGGGAAAATAAGCTATTATGCAGATTTACTTTATCTCTTTATTACTTACATCTTTGACTACATACTTCTCAAGATTTTCAACTGTCTTTTCCTTAAGAGAGCCCTAGTGTAAAGAAAGAAAGAAAAAAAAAACAAAATCCATTATTAACATTACCCAAATGCATTTTTTTTTAAGTACTGACCCCAATGGATAAGTATATGAACTGGAGAAGGGGCCAGGGATGATGTGCTGCAACTCTGCCTCCAAAATGTGTCTTCAAAAGACAAAACTGCTTCTATTTTATACTAGAAATAAATGAGCCTTTCTCATTTAGTAGAGTTTAGAGTAAGTGTGAACTGAGTATCAGTTAATATTAACAGCTGCAAGAGGTTCTTGGACAAAACAAATGAATTCTCATCATTCACAAAGGACATGGTGGTTACAAATATAGATTAAAATCCCTTCTAAATAAGTTTAGGAAGTACAAACTAAAATGAGATCTAGAAGTTAAGCACCACTGTCCAGGACAGAAACAGGAGAACCAGACAAGCACAAATGTGCTATCACAGAGAGCTATCACTAGGGGGCAAAACTCAGATGTATTTGCTGTGAGAGTTTATGTTAGATCACAGAACAGAGTGAACAGGGGAAGAAGCTGCTGCGGGGTACCTTGTAATGGACCCAATCCACGGCGTCTCTTACATCCTGGAACATGCTCCGGTAGGACATGAAAAGGTCTCCATCTTTGAATCCTGTTTCACAGCTGCAGAAAGAAGAAATGGACATAATAGGGAATCCAAAAAGGATACTACTCTATTAGTATTAAAAAAACTGCCCAGGGGACTTAACGGTTCCATATCACAACAGGTAATGGCTGTGTCTGATTCAGATAATAAATACTCCCTACTGCAGCACCTGGTCCTGACTGCCAGAAATGGCTATCGTGTTCAACGGCACACAAATGCAGAGTGAGAGAATACCCTGAATGAGAGCTAAAAGGTCCAAGTTCCTAATATCAGATTCTTTCATATTTTATTTTTTAAAACCAAAACAAAACAGGTTCCCATCAAAGAAAACATTTAACAATAAAACTGGTAACTTAGGCTTCCCTCACCGTTCCTGACACCCTTCCTCCCAGAACAAAGGCCCTGCCCCTTTTCTACTCAGGAATTCAGCTCCCTCAGACTTGGTGCCTAAAAAGTTGGTGAACTCTGACTTATAGGGCTGAACTCACAGCCATCTCTGTACGAGTCTCCCTGAAAGGACAGAATAACCTGTTCAAGACATGGCCAAAGTTTACTTCAGGGAAAGGAAATGGTATTTATTTCTCCATCAACTCTTGCTGGCCCTGGTAATGAAACTCATTACCAGCCCTGAATGGCTCCTGGGTAGCTGCTGTGAAATGAGTTGGGGGGTTTTAGTGTAATTCTGCTTGGACAGATAATCATCACACAAACCTCCCACTCAGTTGTCACAATTAGCACCTCTGCTGGCGTCTTCATTCCCAGGAGAAGCCAATCAGAAGTGGTCCCTTCAAACATGGCCGCAGCACACTGGCAAGGAGAGGGGCCGTGTGGGAGGTGAGAGCCTGCCCCGAGCTGCCGCCGCTGTCCCATCGCGCAGGCTGCCAATGTGGCATCTCTCACTAGCACTAAATTCACTTCAGAAAAGCAGAAAAGACCTACAATGGCCAGTTCTCTAAGACCCTGTGCATTAATTTAAAAATCCATTGGGGAAAAAGGAAAGTAATAGTATGAACATACCTGGTGTATCTGGAACAATTAGTAAAAAAATCTACTAGGCAGGCCAACAGGTAGGTCTCTGAAAAATGAAGAATGGATATTTATAAGCCGTAAGTAGAAGAATTCAAATTTATTTCATTCTCTCCCTTGAGCAAAGACCAACGGTCATTGAAAAGAAGAGACAGCACCAGTGCCCATAAACAGAATGAGTCTACCTGGTAAGTTGAACAGTGTATTCAGGATGTAAAATCTCTCCGTGTCATCCCGTTGGATAAATTTATTTGGATACTGCTCTCTAGTTTCTGGTCTGAAAGAAAATTTTAAAAATTAGTAGCTATCAAAATAATAACACATAATATGTATGTATTTTATAACATAATAATGACTGGGCTATAGTCATTGTTCAAAAACTCAAATGCTTTGGTGGTTACGTGCAAAACAGGGTTTCAAATATCACATGTGCTATGAAGCTATATGAGCTCAGTTCTCAGTGTGGAGGAAGACATGCCTCACACACTCGGACAATAATAACAAAGTGAAGCACCACAACTCCCACAAGGAAAATGCAGAGCGCTGGGGGCTTGAAGGGGGAGAGACCAGGCCGACGTGAGGAGTAGAGTTAGGAGAGGAAAAGTGAGGAAGGAGAATTCATGAGGATGGTGTCACCTGCGCTAGGCCTTTACGGGACAGATGGACAGTCCAAGAACTAGTCCACCTGGACGAGAGACACAGTAATAGAGAAAATAATGAGAGAACAATGGCTGAGACTGATCAGACAGCAGCAAACGGGGGCCAAGCAGATGTCTGAACGCACCTGTGTACAGGGTTCTGTCCTCTCTCCGAACCCTAAGACCACTGTTATTACTGAGACTGAGATACCCTGTCTACACAGAGAAATAAAGTGTTCCTGCCAGCAGCTTGCCAACAGCCTGACGACTGAGTAAAGGCATATATGAAAGATGCCAGAGATCAGCTAGCTCTTCTGCAACTCTCCAGAAAGGCTAGTGGTTGATGGGACTGCAAAGAAACAAGTGTAAAAGTGGTCCTATTCTGTATACTCAGAGCCCTGATGGTGCAATGGTTAAGGTATCAGCTGCTAATTAAAAGGTCACCAGTTCAAACCCACCAGTGGTGGAGGGGGGGCGTGACAATAAAGCAAGCTACTAATCTGCTACCATAACGATTAAACTCAAAACTTCAACAAAAACATTAAAGATGACAACCTAGGAAACCCGCAGGGAAGTCCTGTCCTCCAGGGCGGCTACTGCACGTAACATTTGCATCCACTTTAAGCCTCAAGTAAACAGAGATTTCAAGGAGGCAATTAGAAACACAGGTCAAGAACTTAAGGAAGAGATGAGGCTAAGATCAGAACCATGTAGGTGAAAAGTCAGTAAAAAGAACAGAAGTTCTTAAGGATTCACACACACAAGGGCCTCAGAGAGTGAAAGAGAACTATTCATGCAAAGGAAGAGGGTCATCAGGGTATGCTTACAGAGAAACCAGAGACTGAAACACAAAAATACACAATTCTCACAATAAAGCTGCAAAGACCAAGAATTTCAATAAAGGACATAAAATTTAAAGTTCACACTCAGAGTAAGTTGGGTATCTTCCTGCTTAACCTTGTCAACTACCAATGGCATAAACTCCAGTTACAAATATAAAGTCTTCTTATCCCAGGTCTCAGCGAACCTTCTGAACAAGAGTTCCTAACAACGACTACCTTTGTGCAGTAGTTCATCTTCCAGCCACTGGCGCTTTTATAGAAGGAAAACGAAGGTAGAAGGGACCAGTGTTAACACACAGCCCTAGGCAGGCTGGCCGGCCGACACTGTCCTCTTGTATATCATTTCCTAGTCTCACCATCATTAAAAGGGAAAGTCCTTTAAGGGCAATTAACAGTTATTGGGCAGTCAGAACTTATATAATTAGCAACTATATTTTATTTAAATTAAGTGCCTTATCATGCTATTATGTATTATTATATCTTTAACACGTTGCTGCACACTTTTTAAATTGATGACCGTGCTTAGAAACACATTTGCTGTCAATTGCGGCAACGTGTTAAATACTATGTATTTAAAATAAACACCAATTCAGGTGGAAGCACTGTACCATAAAAGGAATGTTAGACTAGGAAAGAAAATGGTTATAGTCTAGTTTGCTATGAACTTTCTGTGACCCAGAGAAGAAAGATGACTTCTTATCTGGAAAGACACTGTCCAGAAAACAAGGTCCCAGGGAACACTGCAGCACCTGGGGGTGATGCCAATGGAGCTGTCACTCCCCTCTCAGCTGCTCCCCTCTCAGCCGCTCCCCCCACAGCCCCTGCCCCCCTCCCCAGTCCCTACCCCCTTCACAGCCCCTCAGCCTGTCCTCTTGCAGCCCATCCACACTGTCCTCCGGGAACTCCCTCTCCTTTCCTCTCACCTTTAGTCTCCCTGATCCTGTGGGGTTTTTCCCTTTTCACTCCAAAGACTGCACTGTGTGAAGTAGCATTTGAATGATTATGCATTTACTCATAAATTACTTATTTTTAATGAACAATTACACATATTTCCAAAGAAACTCTCTAGAAATTTTAGTGGCTTATTTGGGTGAAGGCAAGGACTGTAGACTGAGTTAATAAATTTGACTGCTGTATTAATTTATAGAGCTGCTTCCCTTTTCTTCTCTGCCTACTTTACCCCTCTCCCAACCACCTCCACAGGACAAAAAGTCCTCTTCAGACATCAAGAAATAGAACCTGGTCCGTCGTCACTGGGATTCTGAACTACAGTGACAACACTTGCATAGAACTAGTTCAGGTTATTAGGACTGCTGGCAGTGACTTTACTAAGTTCTGTTCCCAAAGCTCCTGGATTTTTTTTTTTTAAACAAGCTCATGAAAGAAGAAAAGAAGGGCAGGTGTACCCGGGACAACCACGAGGAAACCTGGTGGAGTGTTTGTTCTCCCAGGTACCAACGCCCTGTGGGAGTCTATGGTTGGGAATGACAACCTTGGGAAGGGCCTCATGTCAGATGCTTTCATTCCAAGTGGGGCACAGAAAGCCCACAGAGTGAAAGGAGGCTCTCCTGCAGCTTCAGTCAGTTTGTGATTTGTGATTTTACCACAAAAGAACATTTACCAAAAAAGATTGCCTTTGTAAAAACTTCACCACAGACTAAGCAGTTTTTACTACTTTGCCACTAAAAATTAGTAATATATTGAAAAGTTATTTAAGAAATGGATACTTAACCTATTTTGGTTTAAAGCCTTAGTCTTCGATGCTAATATAGTGTCAACCGTAAATTAAATAGAAGAACAACAGGGGGGAAAATGTCTATTTGTAAAGCTGTAATTTTAAAATTGTCCAATTGTGGCACTGTGGTTTGAAAAACATTCAGAAGTATCACAAGTGAACACAGGAGGTACTAACTTTTATGTGCTATTTACTAGTACGGAAAAACTCAAATTAGCAGCAAAAATAGTATCATTTTGATTATGAAAATAAAGCTTATCCTTTTTTGTTTTAAATATGTTTGTTCTGTGTCCATTTTTAACTATCGTGCTTAAAAAATTAACCACACAATCAAATGTCTAAAGGTGTTCATGATAATATAAATAATATGTTGGCTGTCAATGATAATCTCAGTCATTTAAATTGTTAGTTTTTTAATTTTATAAAGCACTTTTAACATGTATACTTTTTGAGCAGGTACTCCGAGAACTTATTTAACGAGAAGAAAATAAAAATCTTAAAATCACAAGTAAATCAAGGCTACTATAGCTCTCTCTTGGCAGGTGCCTACTAAGTTCCTGCTAACTATGTTTATGTGAAGAATATGTTCTTTAGTGATTAGTGGAGCATCAAAGGAGATTATGTCTAGGAGAGTTAATGCTGTCTTCAAATTGTCTATAAAATGCTGGAAGGGGCTAAGGGTTCCTTGTACTTACCCCCTTATGAAGTTAAATCCATGTGCACAGACTAAAAGATTTCCATAGGCATCAACTTTCAAAAGATTTCCATATAGTGTGTCAAAAACAAGTCCCCTGTGTGAAAATGATGCAATAATTGATAAATCAGGTAAACAGAGGCAATAATTCCATGCAGTACTGACTGTTCTCCACCACCATGAGCCAACCTCAAAGTGTTAAAATTTCGTAGCAACCTAAGTTGTTTGTTAAGTGCTGTCAAGTCACAGGCAACTCATAGCAACCCTATGAAGGAGAGTCCTCAATGCTTGGGTGCCTTTCACCGTCTCTCCAGGTTCATAGGGTTTCCGGAGGCAAGCTATTATGGAAGTGGATGCCACTCCTTCCAAGAGCAACCTAAGTACATCCCCAAAAAATATAGCCTTAGATGCTGAACTACATGAATAAGTCTTAAAAACAGAGCAAATTTAAACAAGACTTACTTTTGTCTAAATAAATAACGATAGTTGTTTTCTGTAAGGTTAATTTTCTGTAAGGTCAAGTGCACGGGAGGAGACCGTCTGTCCATGCTCCCCCACCACCAACCCCGTCTTGCTCCAACAGAGCAGCTGGAGGATTTGAACTGAGTACCTTTGGGTTAGCAGCACAACTCCTTACTACTAACCACAATAGCTCAAGCAAGGAAGGTATAAACTCCAATTCTTACTTAATACAGTTGACACCCTTCAAAAAAGTTTTTTTAAATGCCTTTGGAAATATAGAAAGCATGTAATTCCTTGTCATATATCGGATATATGATGGCATCTAAAATAAGCATCATCATCTTGAATCTTCTCAGTCAAATCCAGAAACACAAACTACCAAGAAAGTTAAGTCCATGAGCAGTTAAATGTATTAGCTGAACAAGTAACGCAAAGACAGGAGGAACTATGATGACTAGGCATCAATTTTACCAATTTCTCTCTTCTTCCTGCAAAGTAGTTTTGGCGGCACTTCTAAGTTTGGCCTAGTGGTAAGACACTGCGCTGCAATCCCAGAGGCACACAGTCTGAACCCACCAGCTGCTCCACAGGAGAAGGATGAGCAATCTACTGACTGCTTCTGAAAACCCGCTAGAGGGGCAGCTCTGGGTCGGTTCCGACTCGATGGTACACACCTCCACCACAGGCTTACAGCGATGGGAGAAAGAAGGGTAGTCTCCTCCTCTAGAGATTTAAAGCCTCAGAAACAGATGAAAGGTTGCTGTGAGTCACGATCAACTCAATGGCAAAGGGTTTCATGTCTTTCTGCAAAGACTCCTGGTGGCTCTGTGGATTAAGCGATAGGCTGCTAACCCAAAGGTCAGCTGTTCTAACCCACTAGACATTCCTCAGGGGGAAAACGAGGCAGTCTGCTTTCGTAAAGACTTCCAGCCCTGGGGACACTTGGCAGCTGTTGTCCTGAGCTCTGCGGGATGGCACAGCTCTCTCTCAGTGCCAAGTGCATGGGCACATCGCTCTGCCTGGGAACCACGTCGAATGCAGGTGGTTTGGTTTTCTTTCCCCAGAAGTGGGTTTTCTTCAATAGCAATTAAACAAATGCACTGCTATCAAGTTAATCTGCTTCGCAGTGACCTTTCCGGGCAGAGGGGCACTGTCCCAGGGGGTTTCAGAGAGTGCGAATCTTTCCAGCAGCAGAATGCAACCTCCTTCTCTTGTGGAGCAGCTTGGAGTTGTGAACCACTAATTCTTCAGTTAGCGGCTAGGTACTTTAACCGCCGTGCTACCATGGAGGCCTGCAGTAGCTGTTTATCCAAAGACTGAGCTTCTCTAGGGTTCAAACCCTCCAGTGACTCTGAGGGAGAAAGATGGACAATCTCCTCCCACGTGATTATGTCCTTGGAAAACTGGTGGACGGAGTGCCGAATTAACAGCAGTGAGATTTGTTTGTTTCGAGAAACTGCGTTTATGAGCAAGCAATGTGGAGTACACAGGAAGTTCAAGATAATTTTCTTATCAATATCAACCAAAAAGCCTATGGATTTTGGGGGGGAGGGAAGGTCAGGGTAGACAGTGGGAGAAGCCCCAATCCAAAGTACCTCTGAAAATTACCTGGTAGGAAATGTCGAATCATAAGCGAAGCTGAGCAGCTCCTGGGGATAGCCAATTGAAACTAATCTCTCCACCGTGAGTTCAAATCCAAGGGACTCATACTCCGGAGACTTGTACACTGCTCGGAGAAGACATTCTTATTAGTTGGCATAAGGAAGTTAAAAGACAGGCAAACCATCAAGCTTCTGCTCTCCTAATTCCTCTCTCCTCCTAAATTTGCCACTTTTCTTCTTCCTGCTCAAAATTCCATGTCCTACATTGCTCCGAGTAATAAGCGAATTTAATGGAGAGAATGGGAAGATAGTTCCTACAGAATAGCAGGACAATAGCAACAAAAGGAACTATCAAACATGTCCTTCATTTGACAAAATCGCTTTCAAATTTTATTATTCCTTAAATGTTCTTCATGTGCACCATCTAAAGGCAGGGGAAACTAACCGGTTGTGATATTAACCATGAGAACAAGCTGTTGTTGCTGTTGACTGCCTTCCAGTGGAGGACGACTCATAGCAACCCGATGAACAAAAGGCCTGAAGACCCTCTACAACTACCGACATTTATCAAAGTTCATAGAGTCTCTGGAGGCATGAGAATACAAGCAAGCAAAATGTTAAGTAATAGAGATCTTTATTTATTGACGACTTCACTGGTGTCATTAACAGGAATTCTTCAAAATACACCTTTTTAAAAACATCATCTAACTTCTTTTATGGAATTTCAATCTGGCTTTGGAAGAGGTGTAGTGGCACAGCAGGTGCTGGGTGCTGGGCTGCTAACTGAAAGATCAGCCCCTGGAAGGAGCCCCTCAGGAGAAGGATGAGGCTGTCACTGTCTCGTCAGGATTTACAGCCTCAGAAAGCTGATGAAGGGCTGTCAGGAGTCGGGACGGATGTGAGAGCTGTGGACATCTGGCTCTGGTAACTGTTTCATACTCATCTTTCAGTCAGTGTATTTAACTCTAGTCTCAGGACTAATTTGTTTTCTTACTAGCACAAATGTTTTAAATTCATCAAAACTGCATCTTAAAAGTTACTGCTGCAAATCTACCACAGAAAAGCCGTTGTCTGTGACAATTTGGGAAATCTGAGTGTGAACTGGGAATTAGACACTAAAGGATCATTGTTCCTTTTATTATCTTATATCCTGGTGGAGAGAGAGAGAGAGTGTGTTGTTTAATATCTATCTCTCTCTTTATCCAACAACTGAGCACATTGAGGTACTTGCGCATACAAAGATATTTGGGGTAGGATTTTAGTATTCTTTTTACTATTATATGCCTGAAATTTTCTACAATGAAAACAAAATTTTAAAGTAGTTTAACATTAAAAAAAGTTCCATCTCTAAAGAGGCTTCCTCCAAATGAAATAGTCCAACAAGTATCCTTTTCCTGAGTCTCTAACAAGTGGTAAACTATATAAAAATAATAATAATAATTATCACCCTGAAACCTACAGCATCCCTTTTCAGCAGGAAGTAGCTAAGAGAATACGCCATCCCCTTTTCCTTATGAATCAGAGTGAAGTCTCTCTCAGGGAGGAGTGAAAGGGAATGGCAAAGGACACACTGACAAAGGAGATTAATCAGAACTGGCTTTGACAACCACTGTGGCAATTGGACAATTAAAACAGACTTTCAAGGGGGGGAAAAAAAAGAAGAACGAACTGGGGAGGAGGGCAGAGAAAATAGTGCAACAACGAATGAAAACCCAAAATTTCTGTAAATGTTCATTAAAATTAATAAAATTTCATAGTAATAAAAAAATAATAATAATTAACACGTTGCCGCAAATGACGGTAATGCAAAAAAAAAAAGTGTTTCTAAGCATGGTCGTCAATTTAAAAGTGTGCCGCAGGTCAGTGTGTCATGCAAAGCAAACATATCCATTATCCACTCTATCCTTGTGGCCTTATGATTATGCAACTATTATACTATTATAGCCCTTCTGGCTACTATTTGCATCTTCTAGCCAATGGCTCAAACGTAATTCTCAGTATAGTTTACCTATTCAAGTTAGTCCTAACATGTTAGTAAATTTCAACTTTATCTTCCCAAAGCACTTCCTCTGATTATTGTTAGAAACACAGAAAAGGAACCAGTAATACTGGTTTTCTCTGAATGGGAAAAAGATGGGTGTGGGGGAGAAGTGCCTTGTACTTCCTGTACCTTTAAACGTTGTAACATGTCGATGTATTTCTTTTAAAAAAAATATTTAGGGGTGTTTTTTTTTAAATTTTTTTTTTGTTTGTGTGTGTGTGTGTGTGTGTGTGTGTTAAAAAAAAAAAAAGCATGTGCATGCTAGGCTTCCAAAATCCTTTTATATCCATTTTTCCTATTTTGAAACAATAAAAGTTTAAAATAGTTACAGTCCTTTAGTTGTTGCTAAGTCTAGTCAGAACAAGGCTAAGAGAAGCCGTCTTCAGTTCTGCCGTCCAGGGGTAACAGTAATTTAATGCTAATGCTAACCCCATCTTCAAACTATTTCTCTTCTCCCTTCAGCAGTTGTGCCTCATCCTCACCTCATTGCCCTCCTTCAAATAACATCTTTGGAAGTTTTAAATGTGGAATTCTAAATCTAGATGAGGTATATTATAAAATCATTTTTATGAAGTACTCATTAACTCATTAACAGAATAGGAGCTGGTTTATTGTCATGAAAGCATGGTATACATGGACATAAATCTAATTTTTTTTAAATTAACAAACAAATATCTTTTGCTGACCCACTCCACCACCCTGTTCCCACCTCAACAACAGATAAATTTCATTTCAACAAAATTTCCATTAAAACAAAAATTATTTCTCAGTCTTAACCAAAATCTCACTTATTTTAAATAATATTTAATAAAACTAAAGTAAGATAGCTAAGCAAATTGGATAATTCACTGATATTCCTTCTTAAAGGTTCTGGCCCACTTTTTTGTAAGAGTGACAAAGAACATACCTTAATGATTCTCACCCAATCTTAGCCTCTAAATCAGCAATCTTCCCTAGTAATAGAACCTGACAATCATAGTGCAATGGAAAAACTGATTAAAACCTACATCTACGAGACAATTTGTATTGGAAACCAAAGTAATTTATTTGGGATTTTTAATGGAAAAAAATTACATAGGGGAAAATTTTACATCACCATTTTTCAGCATAAATCATAGAAATAGCAAATAATTAAGACTCTATATACTTTCCACATTTTGTGTCTATTCACAAGGGTGGCATTTTCCAAGTATTCAACTCATAGGACTTTTCAGAAATAGCACCTATAGAAATGAGTGCAGGGTACTTCCTCAAAATCATGTCTTCTCCCCATCTGCAGACCTGAATTTAGGGAGTAAGTATAAACATCATCTAAAGTCAAAATTCGGGTCTCCCCAAGTCTCATCCTTCGTTCTTTTGTGTCGGGGTGTACTACCACTGTTTAAAAAGTAGATTTCTAGATTGCACAGGCCATCAAAACTTAAGGTACGATATTGAAACACAGTACTATCCCTTTGGTTTCTTTCAAGGAGTCCAAAATAAACTCTAGTCACAAATGGGAATGGATCTAGCCGAGTCCAAGTTCCACTTTGACAACACTATCTATTACACCAAGGTCTGTATTAATCAGTGAGAACTACAAGCTACTGACATTTTCTCATAAGCTTCCTGGATAGTCATTTCAGTAACATGAACTCCAGGTCATTAAGTCATCTGCTGGAGAACCACACAGTGGTTCAGCACCAGGGCCGGGGATACAGAATCAGAATCGCAGCTGTATAGCACACAGGCTTCGATGTTTTATTCAAAGTTATCACTTGGGAATAACCACAATTTCTTCTGACATGGTGGCAAGAAAAAAACCCCAAACTATTTCTGATGTTTAAGTACCACCACCACTCTTTAAAAAGCTAAAGAAATAAAAAGTAGGAGTGTGTGTGTGTGTGTGTGTGTGTGTGTGTGTGTGTCTGTGTACCATCAGATCAGATCTGACTGGTACAGGAGGAGAGTGTCCCTCCTTCCCCGGCAGAGCATCTGGTGGATTCGAACCGTGCGTCTCTGGGATTGTAGTTGCAGCTCCTTGCCACTAGGAAAAGGTAGGATTCTTTTCATATCAACCAGGCCCTTCCATGCCAACCTCAGGCATGTGTCAGGACCCATTCGGCTCATTCGGACTGTAGACCTCTCCACCTCTCACAGCTGCAGAGGCTTCAACTTCAATTTCTCTTGGTAAACTGTGGTGAGCCAGCTCAAGGCTTACACCCGACTTCCTGTGGTTCCAAAGCCCAGCCAACAGCTTCACGATAAACAATGCCATACACATTCACCACTTATTTCTCCTTTGTTTAAGTCGTCAGGCCTATCCCAATTTACCCAACATTCAAAGACAAAAGAAGTTATTTTAAGGGCTGGAGTCCAAAAAAGGAGGACTGCTTCAGCCACTTAGGGCGGTACACAGTGTTCTCAGGTTATGTAACTAGACTATAAAGAGAACAACCAGAGCTTTGAAAGCTGAAGCTGCTGAGAGCATTTAAAGATACTCTTTAAAGATACTCTTTTCTCCATAATCTGCAGGGGGGGGGGCAGCTCTTAAAAAAAAAGCAGCTGAGTGTGTAAGGACAAAAGTTGTAGGCTCTGTTTTGAGTAGATACTAATCAGACAAGATAGGGCTTAGTTAAGTGGAGAATGTTCCTTTGGGATGAACTCAAAACTCTCTACAGGGAAGTCTGGAACTCATATGCACTTTTTTACCTTTGCCACCAAGACATACTGTGCAGCAATTTAGAGGTTTCCGAAAAAGAAAGGGCAGACCTCCAGAGAGGCCCCAGTGCAGCGGAGCGCTGCCGCCCAATCGAGGACTCACATGAGGCAGACGCAGGTGCAGAGTGTCACTCCAGTCTTGAAGGAGTTACACTGGCTCGCCTGTTAAAAAGAAACAAAAAACAAAGCAACAAAACAAAACCAAAAGCTAGTTTAAAAACGGTCGTGATGGACTGGAACAGAGATACCATCTGGAAATTGGTATTTACAGGAGTTACTGTCCTCCTCTTTGGAAAGCTCTGACCAGCAAGCACTAAAACGAGCTGCATCGGCCGCAACAGCGCAGGAGTGCTGGGGATAAGCCGAAGTATTGTGTCTAACTGA